ATATTTGCAGTTTATTGATTTTGTCCATTTATATGCATGTAGGGGAGAAGCTTGTACCTTGGGCAGGATTTTTTCGAGACGTCGTTATATTCACATTGTTGAATTTTAAGGTAAACTTTTTGGGCTAACTTGTATGTTATAGCTAGTAGAACATTATATTACATAGTAATATTAGTTAAACAATAAAACACATTTATTTTGGGATTTTATTTATTATTACGAATTTGGCCCAAGGTACAAACACATAGTGTACCTTGGACCAACTAGTCTTGTACCTTGAGGCATTTATACAAATTTAAAAATAAATGTAAAAAAACTATTTCTTACTATTCAACATTGTACTTCTCAAAATCTAAATCGAAAATATGTATCCCTTTTTGCCTTTCGGACAATCCTGCCTGACGTGGGGGTGCAAGTTTGAGCAAAACGTCTTCAATATCAATTTGAAATTGTTGACCACTTGGGCCAGAAAATTTGTTGCTGGTGAGAATTCTTTTCAAGTATTGGACCATTAAACAGGGACTTAGAACAGTTACTTCGGCAACATAGAAATGTATTTTTTTTTTTCCCCTGTTAGTTTTGTGAGACAGAAATCACCAATTGCTAGATCGGTAATTTTGACTTCTGTGGGTTTAGCCTGACATTCTTCTATGGGATCAATTTCAAAATCATCTTCAGCATCTAAGTCTGAATCGTCATCATAGACAACAATGTCTTCAGAATCTTCATCTGAGGATGATCACGACGATGACGACTGTAACACCTTTCTCTTCACAATTTCTTTCTTTGCTGCTTTGGGCGTTTTTGTAACGCTTTTTTTGTTGGCTTCAATTTCCATTTTTTCAGGCGTGTCAGTTAATATTCGGGATTTTCCTTTTTTTCGTCCTTTTGCGGAAGCTTTTCTTGGAGCAGCTTGTGGAAATGGACGAATCATTTCTGGTGTGATTATTGCATGTGATGTGGATGGAGTAACATTTTGTGTGGACGGAGTCGTGTTTAATCTGGAGGAAGCAGCGTTTGGTGTGGATGTAATAATGCTGGATGGAGTTGCAACAGTATTTGATGCAGTTGTAGGAATGCTTGTTGTGGATACGGTTGCTAAATGTAAAGATGGGGTTCCTGATGGGGCTCCTTGGGATGTAGATGGGTCGTCATATGGCCGATCAGTTACTGATGATCCCATGAATTCATGCTCTTGAAAGATATTCTCATTAAACTGCCAAATACCTGATACTCTAAAACCGGACTGAATGTTTGAAGGTATGAAGGCTAAAGGGTAGGTAGGCTATTCCTGATATTTCGGCCACATCATAAATTGAAATAGGTTTTCCAGGATGAGAACGCATCCAGTCGGCGCATGCTGTGTTGTAGTATGTTTTGGAAGGCCCAAATACGCTTCGGTCTAGCGGTTGGAGCTTGTGACTTGTGTGAGGAGGTAGGGTAAGCATTACTATTCCGTTTTCTCTTGCGAAATCTATTGCCTCGATGGTAATATGGCTTTCATGGTTATCTAGGATAAGTAGCACCTTATTATTAAAGGAACAATTTACATGTTTCAGAAAGTGGTGAAGATACTGTAGAAAGATTGTTTTGTTAGACCAGCCACTGGGGTGAGCAGATCCAATGGAACCAGGAGGAGCACCTTTAATCATGAAGTCTTTATAATTTACTCTCGGAAATATATATAAAGGTGGCACACTGTTTCCTATGGCATTCACGCATGCAATAATAGTAACATTGACACCTCGTTCACCTGATGTTGCGCTTCCAACTTGTTTCACCCCTTTACAGGCCAAAATCTTATCTGAAACCGAAAAAAAAAATTATAATAAAGGACTGAAATTTTCCTGACGATGTCAAAAACAAGATAGTGAGAAAAATATTAATTTACCTGGCATATGAACGTTTGTGTTTCCGCTTTCATCTAGATTGTAAATTTTATCAGCAGTAAACTGATGCTTTTGCAAAACCCCCCTGAGCTTCTCGAAAAAAGTGGAAACGTGCTTGTTGAAGCTTGTGGACCGGGCTAAACTTGTCGCTTATGGTTTTCTTAAGCTTATTGTGTTTCTGCGCTTCAAAAAATCCAAATACCATTGCTTTCCGGCGCGACGTTTGTTTTCCCAAGAAGCAGGGATAGTTTTATTGTTTGCCTTGGCAAAGTCGTAGGCAAGGACCTGAAGATCTCGACGGGTAAGGCCATAATGCATATGAGATGCTGTGAGGAGATACTCGCACAAGCTTTTTTCCTCTGCTTCCGAAAACACTTTTTTAACCGCACAATTTTCGTAAGATTTGTAAGCTACGTTTTGCTCAAGTTTGATCAAATACCTTTTTAGTGTAGATCGGGACACTTTAAAGTCTTTAGATGCAGTACGCACTGAAATATGTTCATTTTGTACAGCATTTGCTGCGGATTGTAAAGCGGCAAGGTCGGGGCATTTTCTCTTTACAACCTGTTTACTTCTTGGCATCTAAAAAAAAATATCCATGCAATTATACATCCGAACAAAAAAGTCAAAACAGCGATTGTACCTTGGACCATGGCCCAACGTACAAGACAGGGCCATGGTCCAAGGTACAAGCCTATTAGATATAATCAAAGAATATTATAGACTAACGTCTCTAGAAGAACCGTCCGGCGGCGAAAATATAAACCTGCGTGATGGCACTAGTGTCCTAGTAAAATCAGTCGTTTCTGCGATTAAATTAATTTAAAACACTAAATGCACGCGTATTTGCTAGGCTGCGTTGCCAAGTTGTCTTTTGTATAACAAATTAAATGCCTGTGTTTTATATAGGTACTTATTATACATATACCTACCATAGAATAGGAATATTTTATAATTTAAAAAAAAATAATAAATAGGTAAATAGTTATGTATTTTTGTGGGTAGTAATTTTCTGTTACTAATAAATAGAGGAATAAAACACAAAAATTGTTTCTGTCTGTGTGTCTACCTATGTCCCTTATAGACTTTGAAACTATCCAATCGATGTGCCTCAAACCAGTTTAATGTTTAATATGATGAAAGGCAATAATAATAAGAAGGTTTTAGACCACTAATGACAGGTGTCAACTGTCAAATTGAGACAGTTGCAGATTGAACCATATCTTCACAACGGATTTTGCTGAAATTTAGCATACACTTCAAGTTCAGGTGATTAGATGATAATACATTTTAGATCACTAATGACAGGTGTCAACTGTCAAATGTGACAGGTGCAGATTTTTGAACCATTATTTCGCAACGGATTTTGCTGAAATTTTGCATACACTTTAAATTCGGATGATAATACATTTTAGACCACTGATGACAGGTGTTAACTGTCAAATGTAACAGATGCAGATTTGTGAACCATTTCTTTGCAATAGATTTTGCTGAAATTTTGCATACAGTTTAAGTTCGGATGATAATACAATTTGGAATACTCAACAGCTGTCAAATGTAATTTTTGACAGCTGTCAAAATATGACAGGTCGAGAGGTGAACAGGTTGTCAGGACTACCCCCGTCTTTGAAAATTTGCTTTTTTCGACAAATAGACAAATTTCAAAAATAAATAACCCATAATTTTGCACACCGATTTTCAAAATTTGCACACTTTTCTAGGGAAAGTTAAATCGTATCAAAAATTTGCATAACCCCACCCGTTTTTAAAAAAATTGATAGACCCCTATGCTACTCGTTTCATCTAATTTTGGACAATTTTGCACACCTATTTTCAAATTTTGCACACTCATCTGGGAAAAGTTATGAGGTGTGATAAATATGCACTTTTTTCCCCGTTTATCTGAAACTTGAAAAATTCTTATGCTACTCGCTTCGGCTAATTTTGCACACCTTATTTTTAATTTTACACATTCCTCTGGGAGTTGAATGTTGTATTAATTTGCACGTTTTTCCCTGTTTGTCAAAAAATTGAAAAACCCTTGCTACTGGGTTCACTCAATTTTGTACGTTTATTTTCAACCCGAATTGAGTAACATAAAAATTTTTAATTTTCTCAAAAAACCGGCGGAAAAGTGCACATTTTGCAAAATTTGAAACTAGGTGTGCAAAGTTGTGCAAAATTAGGTGAACCTAGTAGCATAAGGATTTTTCAACTTTTTGAAAAACGAGGGGGGGAGAGTGGGGAGACAAGCATAGGATCTTTTAATTTTTCGACAAACGGGGGGGAAAGTGCAAATTTTTAATGCCTTAATAACTTTCCCCAGAAACGTGCGCAAAATTGGCCAAAGCGAGTAGCATAAGCGCAACTAGGCTCCAAATTTGAGGGGTGTTGCAGCACCATTTTTGTGGGTTTGTACTTACGTCATCATTTGCCTTTTTTTAAAAAAAATGATCTTTTTATGTCTGAAATTTCAAACAAACATATAGTTTGTTTCACGGCACGCAAGTTTTTACTTACGTCATCGATGACGTCATAACTTAGAGAAAAAGTTATGTCATAGATTAATTCATGGAGCACCTTCGGAATTATTGTTTTGTAATACATTTTTTAACTTAGAAGAGAATTTATTCAGTTACCCGAAAATATATAAATAAAATTTCTCCTAGAGTGATTTTTCACTGTAAATTTTTGAAATTTTCCTTCTGCCAGTTTTCCAGAAAAAATTTAAAATTAAAAAAATGATTTTTTGTTAAAAGTTAGTTTTCCAGAATTTCTTCTGGAGTGATTTTTTACTGGAAAATTTTAAAATTTTTATACATACATATAATGAATTTCTCACTTTCCTCTTTCTCCTGTAAAAATTTCAAAATTTTTCTTCTGCTAGTTTTCCAAAAAAAAAAAATGTGAGAGGATGAATTTTCCTTAATTTTACTTGAAAAAGTCGATTTTCCAAGTGATTTCTCACTGGAAAATTTCGAAATTTTCCTATAATGAGCTCCTTATTTTCTTCTTTCTCTTGGAAAAATTTCACAACTTTTGCTTTATTAGTTTTCCAGAAATAAATTGAAATGTAAGAGGATGAATTTTCCTTAATTTTGCTTAAATAAGTCAATTTTCCAGAATTTTTCCTGAAGTGATTTTTTACTGGAAAATTTTGAAATTTTGTTTTAATGAGATCCTCACTTTCCTCTTTTTTCTGAAAAATTTCCACAATTATCCTTTTGCCAGTTTTCTAGAAAAAAAATAAAATGTAAGAAAATGAATTTTGCTTAAAAAAGTCAATTTTTCCTTAGAAAACTCATAATTTTCGTAATTCCCCCATAACTTTTTCGTAATTTTCCCATAACTTCAAAAATCATAATTTTTTCGTAATTCCCGTAATTTTTTGTACTTATTTTTAATTCTCGTAATTTTTTAAAAAACTTCGTTATTTTTAAATTCTCCCCAAGTTTTGTAATTTTCATAATTTCAAAAATTCGTGATTTTCATAATTCCTATAATTTTTGTAATTTTTATAATTCTCTTTATTTTTATAATTCCAGTAATTTTTCGTAATTCCTGCAATTTTCCGTAACTTTTTAAAAATTGCGAAAAAGTGAATGTCAAAATTGCTGGAAAGTGACGTTGGAATTACGAAAAATAGAAGTAAAAATTACGGAAAAATGAGGTTGGAAATGTTGGAATTAGGCAATCCAACGACCTGTCCAAATGGCGTTTGGTTGGCAAACAATAAACAAAACACATATGTTTTTTTTTGGCAGGATTAAGCCTAGTACTTATAATTTGCTCTTTTTTGACATTGCATCGACAATTTGACGTTGAAAAAAGAGCGAATTTCGCTTTTATGAGTACCAGGCTTTATCAATACACGGGACGAGTTCTCAAATCTGACACTTTTCTGACATCGTTGACATGTAAAAACCCGTATTCTAACCTCATAAAAATTTCAAAATGCCGGCTGGTTGGCAAAAGTCACGTGGTTTGGATTCCCTAATTGCGAAAAAGTTGAGTAAAAATGGCGGAAAAGCAAGGTTATAATCGAGAAAAAATGAGGTTATAAATACGAAAAACAAAAGTAAAGATTATGGAAAAATTAGGTTGAAATTGCGGCAATGTGAGGCGAAAATCGCGGAAAAGTGAGCTTATACTTATTGAAAAATGAGGAAAGAATAACGGAAAAGTGAGGCAAAATTCGCGGAAAATTTTGTTGAAATTCCGAGAAAGTGAGTTTGGACTTGCTATAATAGCAATTGGATTATTAGGCTTCGTAGTATGAGCACACCATATATTCACAGTAGGAATAGATGTGAAATTGCGGAAAAGTGAAGGTTAAATTGCGAAAAAAAATTGTTGAAAGCCGTTATTTCTCAAATAAATTTCGTTATTTTTATAATTTTTCCTTAGTTTTTGCAATTTTTGCAAAACTCCTAATTTTCGTAATTCCCATAACTTTTTCCTAATTTTCTTAATTTTTCGTAACTTTCCAAAATTCTCGTAATTTTTGAATAATTCCTGTTGTTTCTCAGATTTTCGTAGTTTTTTAATTTCTGTAATTTCTCAAAATATTTAGTTACCTACTTATTTTATAATTCCCCCTAAGTTTTTGTTACTTTCAAAAATTCGTAATTCTCGTAATTTTAAAAAAAATTTTATTGTGAATTTTCATTATTTCCGTAATTTCTCAGATAATTCTCCCTATTTCTATAATTCTTCCTTAGTCATTGCAATTCTTGGAAAACTCGTAATTTTCGTAATTCCCGTAACTTTTTCATAAATCCCGTAAGTTTACCAAAAATTATCGTAATTTTTTCGCAATTCTCGTGATTTTTCCTTATCTCTTCCAATCTTTATATTTCCTGTAGTTCCTCAAATTTTCGTAATTTTGTAATTCCCGTAATTTCTCAAAAAAAACCCGTTATCTTTATAATTCCCCCCCAGTTTGTTGTGATTCTCAAAAACTGGTAATTCCCGTATTTTTTTTTTCTTGGAATTTTCGAAAATTCTTAAATTCCCGTCATTTTTCAAAAAATTCTCGTTAATTTCATAATTCTCCCTTAGTTTTTGCAATTTTCGGAAAATTCGTGAATCCTGTAACTTTTTGTAATTCTTGTTATTTTCGTAATTTTTTGAAAATTGTCACAATTTTTTTAATTCGTGATTTTTTCGTATTTTTCATAATTTTTGAATAATTCCTGTAGTTTTCAGATTTCCGTAATTTTTTAATTCCTGTAATTTCTCAGAAAACTCCGTTATTTTCATAATTTTGAAATTATATAAGTCTCGTAATTTTCGTATTTTATTTTGGGAATTTTCGAAATCTTGTAATTCCTGTCATTTCTCAGATAATTCTCGTTATTTTCCTAATACCCCCTTAGTTTTTACAATTTTCGAAAAACTCGAAATTTTCGTAATTTCCATTACATATTTTCGTAATTTTTTAATTTCCGTAATTTCTCAAAAAAAATTCGTTAGTTTTATAATTTTCTTTAAGTTTTTGAAATTTTCGAAAATTGGTAATTTCCGTATTTTTTTTTGGGGATTTTCGAAATTTTTTAATTCGTGTCATTTCTGAGATAATTCTTGTTATTTTCTAATTCCCCGTTATTTTTTTCAATTTTTGGAAAACTTGGTAATTTTCGTTATTCCCGCAATTTTTCGCGCTTTTTCCAGTAATTATTTATATTTTCAATTTTTGAATTTTCAATTTTCCTAATTTCCAAAAAAATTCGGAATTTTCTAATTCTCCCTAAGTTATTGTAATTTTCGTAATTTCAAAAAATTGTGATTTCCGTTATTTTGGGAATTACCGTAATTCACGTAATTTTGAAATGACTTTGTAATTCTTTTCCGTAATATTTCGTAATACCCGTAATTTTTGTAATTTTCGTAGTTTTTTGTATTTTTCTCAATTCTCGTAATTTTCATAATTTCTCATAATTCCCGCAAATTTTCGTCATTTCCGTCATTTTACTAGGTTCCGTAAATTTTTAAAATTCCCATTATTTTTCGTAATTCCCGTAATTTGTCTTATTAGTTTTCGTAACTTTTCAAAAATTAGTAATATTTAAATAATTGACGTAATTTTGGAGTGACTTCGTAATTCTTTTGCGTAATATTTGGCAATTCCCATAATTTTTGTAATTTCCGCAATTTTTTGTTATTCCGTGATTCTCGTAATGTTCCGTAATTCTCGTAAATGTTTGCAACTCTCTCTAATTTTTCATATTTTACGAACTTTAGCGTAATTCCCGTAATTTTTCGTAACTTTTCAAAAATTATCATTATTTTCGTAATTTTGAAATGAGGAAAAATGAGAATAAAATCGTGGAAAGTGATGATAAAATTGGTCTTCAATAAGTGGACTGTATGTTTATTTTATATTTAATAACTTTTATTCAACTGAATATACAAAATTTAACTTAAAAATCAAGAAATTTGTACTACAAAAATAATAATAATGTTGCCTCTTATAAAGTTCGGCTAGTAGTCGCGAGCGAGAGAGCGCTTGCTTCCCAACAGGGCTCCCCTCTCTCGTAGTCGACGTCCATCGAATCGATCGATAATAGTCCTTATGCGCGAGCATGCGCGGACCTCGCAGTGGTACAACCGCAATAAAATGACGCACAAAAAGAGTTTTTAGTTTTTCTTATACAGAATTAGAAAACGGAACAAATAGTGTAACAACGATCACCATACCGCCCGCCTTGAAATACTCCAGTCTTTCAAAACATAACTGAAACTGTATATCGAATGATAGGTCACAAAAGTTCCTTTCCATTATTGACTTGGCAAAGGGCAAATATTATTTAATGAACGTCTTATTGTTCCCTTATCGGTTTTAATGTCCACAACCCGCACAATTCCGTCACTTCCCGGCATAAGTTTAGTCACACGACCTAATTTCCAACTTAGAGTGGCCAGATTTTCTTCTTTCACCAACACTAACGAATCCACCTTGATAAGTTGGTTGGCATTTTGTTTCCACTTGTGACGGGTTTGAAGTTCTCCAACATATTCTTTTTGCCACCTTCTCCAAAAATGTTGTGTGGCAATTTGCAACTTCTGGTATAAATCTAGGCGATTTACGGGAACATCAAGTAAGTTATGTTCTGGTACAGACGTTAAATTACGCCCTATTAGGAAATGGGCTGGTGTCAATGCCGATAGATCCTCAGGATCCGAGGATAGGGGTGACAAAGGACGGCTGTTTAGGATTGCTTCAATTTGACAAATTATGGTCGAGAACTCTTCAAAAGTATATGCTGTGTTAGATAAAATTCTCTTAAGATGATATTTTACGCTTTTGATACCCGTTTCCCAGATACCACCAAAACTAGGAGATCTAGCAGGTATAAAATGCCAGCAAATGCGCTCAGTAGCCAGATTGTCATATACATATTGCTCATTGCTACGCAAAAATTCATATATTTCAGACAATTCATTGTTTGCCCCTAAAAAATTAGATCCGTTGTCACTAAAAACATTGACAGGTTTTCCGCGTCGGCTTATAAACCTTCTGAAAGTTGCAAGAAAACCGTCTGTGGTCAAACCGGAAACTATTTCCAAGTGTACAGCCTTTGTACTCATGCATACAAACAAGCATATGTATGCCTTAAAAATTTTTGCTCCACGTCCCTTACGGTCCTTTAAGCAAAATGGTCCCCCATAATCCACACCAACGTTCAAAAAAGGCATGTGACAATTTACGCGACTGCTGGGTAAATCTCCCATTAAGTAAGGGGAACTAGAGGGTATTGTTTTGAAACAGACTACACATTTTTTACAGATCTTTTTACATATACTTCGTCCAGAGATAGGCCAATACAATTCTCTTACTGAACAAAGGAGCAACTGAGAACCACAATGCAACAGTCGTTCATGCGCATCTCTGATAATTCTTTCAGTTAAAAGATGGGACTTTGGTAACAATATTGGGTGTTTCTTGTCAAAATTAAAAGCAGAATTCCTTAATCTTCCACCAACTCTGATTAAATCATTGTTTAAAAATGGATTTAAACATAACAAAGAGCTTTTATTACTTAGAGGTAAACCTCGTTTTAAACAATTATACTCTTTGTTAAAACAATCCTGCTGTACCTTACTTATAAGTAAGTTAATTGAAGTTTCTAATTCGCCAACATCTAGTGGTTGAACTTCCCTTTCGATGAACTCATTGATGTTTACAACTTTAATGGAAAATTTTGGCATAGTTTTAGCTCCCTTTTTTATATTTTTAACAAATCTCAAAACATAAGCAAGAATTCTTTGAATTTTTTTTATAGACGAGAAATGAGTCAACAGTTCATCAAATATAGATTTTCCATTCTGAATCACATCAAGATTCACGGATTTTTGTTCTGGAAGATTCATCAAATCACTAGAAACATCAAATTTTAAATTCCAAGTTTCGTTAGAAAATAAAAACCACTCAGGGCCGCACCACCATAGCTTACTTGATTTTAAAATTTCTAGAGTGGTGCCTCGTGACAGCAAGTCAGCGGGATTTTTACTAGATTCAACATAGTTCCAGTCATTTGGATCTGTTAGAGTTTGAATCTCGCTAACCCTGTTTGCCACATATGTTTTCCATCTGGAGCAATCACTCTTAATCCAGTGAAGTGCAACCATCGAATCGGACCAAAAATATTTTTGATGAAAATTAATGTTCAGTGAAGCAAAAGCCTTATGCGCAAGATTCGCTAATAAAACGCTAGCATTTAATTCTAAACGCGGCAAAGTAACTTGCTTGACCGGTGCTACACGCGATTTTGCGCACAATAGTTGACTATGAATTCCTCCAGATGAAAGAATACACCTAACATAAAGGCATGCCCCAAAAGCCTTTTCACTGCTATCGGAAAATCCATGCATTTCTATAACTATATATGTGGAAACAGAAACATGCCTGGGGATTTCAAAATCATTTATTGAAGTTAGTTGATTTAGAAATTTTGACCATTTGTCATACAACTCACTAGGTACTTGTGCATCCCAGTCAATTTTAAGTTTCCACAGTTCCTGAATGATCAATTTAGCCACAATGATTATAGGTCCCAATAGACCCAGTGGGTCAAATATTTGACATATTATGGACAAAATAGTTCTCTTGGACGGTACTTTATCCGTAGATATATGATTTACACAATATTGAATGGAGTCACGATGGGAATTCCAATAAATGCCAAGGGTTTTGTTCTGCTCATGTTCGCCAATATGTAGAATACTGAAATTTTCGCCCTTATTTATATCAAATTGGCTCATTACCGTGGCATTATTGCAAATCCATTTTCGCAAATGTAATCCTGCTCCTTCTAAAATCTTAGAAACATTTCGCTGAATTTGAATTAGATCCGCTGCTGAGTCAGCGCCTGTCAGAAGGTCGTCCATATAAAAATCATTTGCTATTATTTTGCTAGCAAGCGGCATATTGGCCATATTTTCATTAGCAAGCTCTAATAGACACCTTACTGCCAGGAACGGTGCAGCTGCGGTTCCAAATGTTACTGTTTGTAGCTCATAGCATTTTAATTGATCATTAGGATCTCTTCTCCAAAAAATTTTTAAATATTTGGTGTGATTTTGACTCATTTTAATTTGTCTATACATTTTTGACACGTCGGCCGTCATGACAAACTCATACTTTCGGAATCTAAGCAAAATATCGAAAACGTCTTGCTGCAAATTTGGTCCACTGTATTGGACATCGTTCAAGGATAATCCCGAGGATGACTTGGCCGAAGCGTCAAATACGACTCTACATTTAGTGGTCAAAGAAGAATTTTTGATAACCGCATGATGCGGCAAAAAATAACCATCATTTGAAGACTCATCAGAAAAACCTACCTCTTTCATATGCCCGAGTGTTGAATATTCTTCCAAAATGTCAGAATATTCTTTCCTTAAATTTGCATCCTTGCTTAAACGTTTTTCTAGAAAATTGAATCTTTTTAAAGCTATGTCCCTACTCAAACCCAAATTGCATAAATTTTCTTTAAAAGGAATTTCGACAATAAATCTACCTGTTTCATCTCTTTTGGTTGTGCGTATAAAATGTTCTTCACAAAATTTTTCACTCTCGGATAATAAACCTTTTTTTGTTTGAACTTCTTCCAGTTCCCAAAATTTAATTACAATTTTATCTAAAGAAGACTTCTTATGATTGACAGTGACATTTGAAACAGAATAATTTTTTCCTAGTAAATTTAAGTTCAAATTTCCTGCAATTATCCAACCAAATTTGCTATTATATAAAACAGGTAAATTTTTGCCCAGGTTTCGTTTTTGGGAATTCAAAATCTTCCAGAATATGCTCGAGCCTATTAGCATATCAATGTCACTACTTATGTTAAATTTAGGATCTGCCAAATTATATTCCTTAGGAATGTTTAGTAATTTTGTATCAAAAGACACAAGTGGCAACTTGTCAGTTATTTTAGGCAACACCAAACAGTTAATTTTTTCTTGGTACTCTGAATAACAGGATTTAATCAATACATTAACCTGCTCATTTATATTAGCCAGAGCTAAACCAACACCTGTAATGACGTGATTTATTTTGGAAACATTTAAATGAAGTTTTCTACACAGTGACTCTGAAATAAAGTTGCTTTGAGAGCCACTGTCCAATAAAACTCTACACAAAACATAGTTATTATTAAAAAATACTTTTATAAGCGCAGTAGATAATAAAATCTGGGACGAGCTGATATTATTGGCTACAGCGCCAATGGACGAGGTGGAGGCTTGAGTTTCATCTTGGTCGTCTCTATTCTCTTGCATTTCAATGGGAGCGACCTGAACCTGCAGCTCCCCCTCGCTCACCACCGGAGCCGCCAGCAAGCCACAGTCAGCCGGGATAGATACTGCGCTTATTGACATATTATTATTTTCTTGATTTACTATATTTTCATTTGGTAAATTTTCCAAATGTAATAATTTATTATGGGGCCTTTTACACTTTTCGCAACGCTGGGATCTGCATTTCCAAAAAGCATGCTTTCCTCGTAAACAATTTAGACAAAAACCTAGTTGTTTTATTATTGCAATACGGTCCTTTACACTACGTTTTAAAAACAAGGGACATGATGCAACAGGGTGATCCTCCTTACAATGGGCGCATCCAAAAGGTTTTTTAATCTCTAGGTTATTAGCCTCGGTTGCTGAATAGACATTGCTTGCACTATGTGCTTGTTTTTTCGAATAGTTCTGACGTTTAACGTCGCTCTTCGAAAACTCAAGTTTTTCCAACAATTCACAACGAATTTTTAAAAAACGAGTAATATCATCCCATGTAGGAAGATCACCATGGTATTTGTAGCATTCCCAATCACGTTTTGTCGTACTATCAAATTTACCAGAAATTATATAAATCATTATGCGATCCCAGTGTTCGACTTTCTCGCCCATAGCTTCTAGAGCATGCAAATGTTTGCAAAAATTATCAAATAACGTTCTAAGACCTGAATGAGATTCACTACTGACAGCTGGATGTTCAAAAATGGATCTTATATGACTATGAATAATAATACTTCGATTTTCATATCGATCTAGAACTAATTTCCACGCAATCGGATAGTTTCTAGCAGATAATTCTATAGACCTAATAAGCTCTAATGCATCTTTTTCAAGTGACGACCTTAAATAAACCAATTTTTGAACTTCAGATATAGCACTATTTTCGTCAATTAGTGAAGTAAACAATTCTTTAAATTCAATCCATCTTGTATAATTGCCATCAAAAGTAGGTAGTTTTATGGGAGGCAATTGTACTTGTGGCTGAACTAGGGCATTTGGATTTGGCAAAACGGAATTTGGATTATTCACATTGGCAACAGTAATCGGATTAACCACAGATGGCTGGGGACCTGATCTATTTTTTTCATAATATTTATCTAAAATTGATCTAATTTCACCCACCAATTCGCAATATGAATCTTCAAATTTTTCACGTTCGTCAGAGTCGCATTTTTTCTCCAACTCTTCAATATCTGCTTGAACCTCTAGGAACTCAGTCCAAATAGGCTGTATTTGATCATATCTAACACGTACTTGTGCAATAATTTTATTATTTAAATTATTGATATCTAACGCCACTAAATATTTCCCTAATCTAGTTAAACGCCCTTTAAGGGCACCCCTCTTAATATGTAATATGCCGATATCAACATTATCTTCTTCCAATGGTTCATCAGCCATAATTTAACAATTAATAAAGCGGGTAAAAGGAAAATAAGTGAGATAATAGAAAAATCGGTATAAATAATATAAATGGAACGGACTTACATAGGAAAATCCTGAGGAATTTGCTTATTTCAGGTCCAATATTGCTGGATTTGCTGTAGCACTAGCTTTACTTACGCTTTACTTAGCTTCAACACAACAATGGCTCGACCTGTCAATGACGTCACTAGCGAGTGTGCTACGCAATAATTTCACAGACAGGAATATTATTTTTCAGCTTTAAAGTCCCGATCCGGCTCGAAGCTGACCAAAATGGTCTTCAATAAGTGGACTGTATGTTTATTTTATATTTAATAACTTTTATTCAACTGAATATACAAAATTTAACTTAAAAATCAAGAAATTTGTACTACAAAAATAATAATAATGTTGCCTCTTATAAAGTTCGGCTAGTAGTCGCGAGCGAGAGAGCGCTTGCTTCCCAACAGGGCTCCCCTCTCTCGTAGTCGACGTCCATCGAATCGATCGATAATAGTCCTTATGCGCGAGCATGCGCGGACCTCGCAGTGGTACAACCGCAATAAAATGACGCACAAAAAGAGTTTTTAGTTTTTCTTATACAGAATTAGAAAACGGAACAAATAGTGTAACAACGATCACCAAAAATCACAAAAAAAAGAGTCAAAAATCGCAAGAAAAATATGAGTCAAAAATTTCAAAAAGAGTGAATTTAAACTCGCGGAAAAGTAAGATGAGACTCACGGAAAAATGAGGATAAAGTCACGAAAAGTAAGGATAAAATCGCGGAGATTGAAATATGAATCGCGGAAAAGTGAGGATAACATCGCAAAAAAAAGTGAGACAAGAATCGCGGAAAAATGAGATTATATTTACAGAAAAGTCGATTTACAATCGTGAAAAACTGGATTTAGAATTGCGGTAAGTGATGGTAAAATTGCAAAAAAATGAGTCAAAAATAAAAAAAATAAAAATTTTCAAAAATCACAAAAAAAATGAGGTCAAATTAGCGGAAAAAAGGAGATAAAATCGCGGAAAGTAGGGGAACAATCGCGGGAAAATGAGGTAAGAATCGCGGAAAAATGAGGATGAAATAGCAGAAAAATAAGTTTGTAATCGCCGAGGAGTGAGGCCAAAAATCGCAAAAAAGTGAAAACAAAATTGCAAAAAAGTGGGTCAAAAATCACAAAAAAAATGAGTCAAAAATTTCAAAAAAAGTGAGTGTGAATTTGTGAAAAAGTGAGATAAGAATCGCGAAAAAATGAGGTAATATTTGCGGAAAAGTGGGTTTACAATCGCGGAAAAGTGATAGTAAAATCTAAGATTTCTAAATTATGACGTCATCAAATTGGATTTTTCAATGAATAATAAATTGGAAGCATCTTTCCTACATAAAATTATTGAATTTGACATTTATCAAAAGATCCAAACAACCAGCACCTTGTTTTACAGGTAATGAAATGTCTTGTCAGTTTCTTGAAAGTATGTCGTGGTCAGTAATTATTTTTGCTAGAAATGCAACAAAATACAGAAGAAAGAGAAGATTGCATCGATCCCTTGAAAAATATAGATGAGGCGGCCAATCGGGCTACCTCAGTTGTTCCAATTTTACCATTAATATCAATGTAAATAACTAAAAATACAAACATTTTTGACGTTCGCTCTCAAAATTTGATGTTTCATTTTTAACACTAGTGCTATAAAGACTTTATGGCACTAGTGCGATAAAGTAACATTTTTAATGCTACGGGGGGTGTTAAAAATTGCATTTTTGACACGTTTGTAGAAAAAGTTTTTTTTTTTAAAGATAAAAGTCAAAATGACATTATGTTGGCAATGCAATGTAAAATTGTCAATGCTTTCAAATTTTTTATGTAGAAAAGGCTTGTGTTGCCAACATAGTTATTGAATTTTTGACTTGGGGAATTATCTTTAAAAAAAAACATACTTTAACTTTCCCCAGAAAATTGTGCAAAATTTGAAAATAGGCATGCGAAATTGTGCAAATTTAGGTGAACCAAGTAGCATAGGAATTTTTCAAGTTTTAGACAAACAAGGGGGAACGGTCAAGTTTGCCCCTAGTTTAAAAAAATGCTCTAGTTTTCGTTGTGTTGTGTGCAATATTTTATTTATAGTGTGCAAAATTATTATGGTTTAGGTATTTATTTTTGAAATTTGTTTAATACAGGCGGAAACTTGACCGACCCCAAAATTTACTTGTTGGTAAATAAACCGATCTACTGGAAAATAAATAAATAATTCATAATTCGAAATTAAACATAAATTTCTAAGTGGCAAATTTGCCAAATATACTGAAAAAAAAACTTAAAGAAAATGATAGAATAGCATCCATCTATGATATTCGTTGGTAAATTATCAAATATGTTAGAAAATATATGCTTAACTTCCTAATTCCTTTTGGCACGCGTCTGTCTCCCTATGCACGCAAAGCAAATATTTCACTTTAATAACTTCATTCAGAGAAGCAGACACGGATGCTGGCTCGCTGGCTGGACGCTGAATCAACAGCACTGACAACTCGGCAACAGTGGGCAATAGACTCGAGCCAGCGTCCACATCGGCAAAAGCCGGCGTCCATCGAGGTATCAAAAATCAGAATACGGACGAGACTTCTAGAGACGTTAGTGTATAATATTCTTTGATATAATAAACAAATATTTTTCTAACCTATATAAACAAAAAAAGAAAAATGTAAAATTATCAATTTAATTTCTCTACATAGGTACCTAAGTTTAACATAGGGCATGCGAAATTTTAATTTATGTATTGTAAAACTGAATAGAAAACTTTAAAATCACATCAAAATACTTACTTTTGGAGGCACTTAAAACATACACTCGCTCACAAGACAACAGTTTCACAGAACTCATTTAAACAACGTGTCACGCATTGGCGGTGGAAGTGATAACCAACATAACAGAATTTGACAGAGATTTACGCGCCAAATTTGAAATTACACACATGGTCCAAGGTACATGATGGGTCAAGGTACAAGCTTCTCCCCTATATTGTAGGTCTTCTTTATGTATTATTATTAAACTTTATGTTGTATTGATTAAGTTTTATTGACTAGTGTTTTAATTTTAACCTGCATTGTTAATTTATTATTATTTACCTATGTCTTGTATTTAACTACTATTTTTATTTTTTTTTTGTTCTCTTTTACCAAGGCTTTGTAACCAATAAAGCTATTTTTGACTTTGACTTTGACTATTTCAATTGAGAACGCAAACGAAAACGACACAGACTCGTTGGCGATCCATCAAATGTTTTCAAAAGAGTTACAGTAGATTTTAAAGCTCCAGCAGCCATTTTATTGTTATTTAAAATGTGTGGTCCTAAAAATTCGTTTAAATCTCTGGTTTGATCTAATTATACAGGGTTTTTGGTACATATATAGAAGATTTCAATGAGTGATAGGATGATAGTTGGGGTGGTAATGACGTCCATGTCCGAGTTTTTGTAAAAAGGTGAAGAAAGGATGTTCTTTAGACGTTTGATTAAGTTGTTTTCGAAACCTCTGTTAAGAACAATTAAAGAACCTCAGAATGTTTTCTATGAGTTCGTGAAAGTATGTTTTCATGAAAAGTCATGAGAGACGTTTTATAAAGGTTTCTGTTGGTCGTTTTCGAGAACACCGTTGGGTTGGAAACATGTATCCCACGTTCACACGTCCGGAAATTATTAGTTCGAATAAGACGTTTTTAAAAGGTTGTTTGTAATTGTGATATTTGCACTACCTATAAAATAAGTCTATTGGATGGTGTTGGATACTTTGAAGGAAGTCCAGTGAATGTTCGAATAGAGATCTTTGAAAAACGTCCTTTTTCGTTTTTAAGCGTTCGTATTAAAGCATTTTTGAAACGCTCATTTTCGACGTCTATATGACGTTTGAAGTGACATTCGCACCAAATAAAAATACACCTTTGGATATTCTCAGTTATTTTCGCTGACGTTTTTAAAACGTTCTGACGTCCGATAGGATAATTTTTTGAAACGTTTCTGTGCTATTAGGGTATACCTATCTATATTATGTATCTGTTGATTGTTGTCAAGATCTTGGATTGGCTGACTCTTACTTTGTTTGTTATCTTTCTTGTTTTCTTATGTTAGTTTTTTTTTTTGTGGTTACCTAAGTTACATAAAGTTTGTTTTTTTATTTAAAGATAATTCCCCAAGTCAAAAATTTAGTAACTTTGTTGGCAACACAAGCCTTTTTTACATAAAAAAATTGAAAGCATTGACAATTTTACATTGTATTGCCAACATAATGTCATTTTGACTTTTATCTTTAAAAAAACACAGACTTTATTGTAGTATGTGGTTTTATTGCTAAGATGCTATGCCTTACTGTTACGTGTAATTATTTTTTGTTTCTACAATTCGAGGTCTTTCACATTTTCCCTAAGCAGGCCATGGGATGGGGCGGCAAATTCACTCATTGCCCAGGGCGGTAAAATACCTAGAGCTGGCCCTGATGGAAAGTTCACTTTCTAATTTTCTAACTATGAAGGGTTGTGTCTTGAAATTTCTAATAAAAGAGGCACAAAAGATTCCTTTGAACTTTCATATGTGTTTTACTATCAAACCCAACAATAACAGGAAAAATAATTTTTTATTCCAAAACTAAATTAATTATAAATAATAAATAGATAATAGAATTTACACAAATGATTAAACAGATAAATTAATAAACACTCCTTAAAATGGTATATAAATGCAATTTGTGAATTCTCTAAGTCAACTCAATTAAACTGCAAAGCTTTTTCTCTTCCTATTATCAGCTTCAATCAAATAATCATCCAAATCCATTTTTTCGTAAAAGTTAACACAATCCAGCACCCACTTCTCAGTAACACAAACATGTTCCCCGTCAATGTATTGCCCCACAATTATCATAGCCATCCTTGGATTAGTAACAACTTTGCCTTTGCATGTGCGTATCAACTCTCGCAAGTCGGAACACCGAGGCGTGGTCTCTAAACTCACATAAATCGGCGGACAAGATTCAAAAACATCCATTGCGTAGTTTTCGCCAAAGGCTTGACGCTCTAAACGGCAGTGCCTTACTGCAGGAGAAAAATCGTCTAGCTCGAAGTTTTCTTCTGGTAGCCACTTGCCAGCTTCCAAAGAACGAAGTACCTAAAAAATCTTCAATTTGCATTTATGTTTTTTTGAGGAATTGATAGCTTACCCATTCGTGTTTGAGCACCCAACAGCCTCTGGCGATCGCTCTGAGCATGTTTAGAGTTCTTTTGGCTTCCCCTGCTACAAGGTGAGTCGTTTTTTCACTGACTTCGTCTTCTACAACGAATCTGCCCAGTTTCTTGACTATTTGAGTGAAAACCTAAAGAAAACCGAACAGATTTTGCATTAAAAATAACCAAGTATCGCTATTTATTAAAACATTTAAATTATCTTGTATTCAACTCGTTTGGAATTAAGTTTCACAGTACGAGTTTTAACATCCTTGCTTAGTCTGTTGGACCTCAGAAGTCTTTTAAGTTTTATCTTTAGAATTTTTAGTCCTTAACTATTCAGTATGTCTTTGGTCTTAAATCATGATTTTTTATGAATATTTTAATATAGTGTATTCAGAATCTTTAGTCCAGTTCTCAATCTTCTGATACTAAAGTTTTCAAATTCTTTAGAATCGTAACAGACTTTGAGACAGGATTTTCACGTTTTTCTAGCTCTAAATGAGCCAGTTTATAAGATTTTTCCAATTTCAGCCTTAGGAGAAAAAGTTGATGAGATTAGTAAGTTTAGAAATAAGATTTGTAAATCACTCTGATTTAGTTTTAGTTTTAGTTCAAAAATGATCAGAAATCAGAGTTTTATACTTTTCTACTTCAATTTTCGCTACAGTAGAGCCAAGAGATTTTCATGCTTCTTCTAGTTCAAATTTGAGCTATGGGAAAGCCAAGGTCGATAAAATTCAGTGAAAGCTTTCTATCTATAACAGAAAAAAAGCTATGACCTTTCAAAGTTTTCCAAAAAAATCATAAGGGGGGTACCTTCTTACTAAAACGATGAAATTTCAAATTTTTTTTGTCGAGATTTTATATCCTAATGGTCTCTCGTGATACCCTGAACTCCATAAACTAAATTATTCTCAGATTTGAACCCAAAATCTATGAAAAAAGGCACTCAGAAAAATTGAAAAATTGATAAATCACCCCAATTGCTTAACACGATTTTATCTCAGGAACTATAAGTGCAAATGAGCTGAAATTTTCAGGGATTGTAATTCTTTGAAAGGGATAAAATACAGTGAAAGATTCAGCTTTCTATCGATAATAGAAAAAAAGTTATGACCTTTCAAAGTTTTCCAAAAAAATCATAAGGGGGGTACCTTCTTACTAAAACGATGAAATTTTAAATTTTTTTTTGTCGAGATTTTGTGTCCTAATGGTCTCTCGTGATACCCTGAACTCCATAAACTAAATTATTCTCAGATTTGAACCCGAAATCTATGAAAAAAGGCACTCAGAAAAATTGAAAAATTGATAAATCACCCCAATTGCTTAACACGATTTTATCTCAGGAACTATAAGTGCAAATGAGCTGAAATTTTCAGGGATTGTAATTCTTTGAAAGGGATAAAATACAGTGAAAGATTCAGCTTTCTATCTATAATAGAAAAAAAGTTATGAACTTTCAAAGTTTTCCAAAAAAATCATAAGGGGGGTACCTTCTTACTAAAACGATGAAATTTCAAATTTTTTTTTGTCGAGATTTTATATCCTAATGGTCTCTCGTGATACCCTGAACTCCATAAACTAAATTATTCTCAGATTTGAAGCCGAAATCTATGAAAAAAGGCACTCAGAAAAATTGAAAAATTGATAAATCACCCCAATTGCTTAACACGATTTTATCTCAGGAACTATAAGTGCAAATGAGCTGAAATTTTCAGGGATTGTAATCCTTTGAAAGGGATAAAATACAGTGAAAGATTCAGCTTTCTAACTATAATAGAAAAAAAGTTATGAACTTTCAAAGTTTTCCAAAAAAATCATAAGGGGGGTACCTTCTTACTAAAACGATGAAATTTCAAATTTTTTTTTGTCGAGATTTTATATCCTAATGGTCTCTCGTGATACCCTGAACTCCATAAACTAAATTATTCTCAGATTTGAAGCCGAAATCTATGAAAAAAGGCACTCAAAAAAATTGAAAAATTGATAAATCACCCCAATTGCTTAACACGATTTTATCTCAGGAACTATAAGTGCAAATGAGCTGAAATTTTCAGGGATTGTAATCCTTTGAAAGGGATAAAATACAGTGAAAGATTCAGCTTTCTATCTATAATAGAAAAAAAGTTATGAACTTTCAAAGTTTTCCAAAAAAATCATAAGGGGGGTACCTTCTTACTAAAACGATGAAATTTCAAATTTTTTTTTGTCGAGATTTTATATCCTAATGGTCTCTCGTGATACCCTGAACTCCATAAACTAAATTATTCTCAGATTTGAAGCCGAAATCTATGAAAAAAGGCACTCAGAAAAATTGAAAAATTGATAAATCACCCCAATTACTTAACACGATTTTATCTCAGGAACTATAAGTGCAAATGAGCTGAAATTTTCAGGGATTGTAATCCTTTGAAAGGGATAAAATACCGTGAAAGATTCAGCTTTCTATCTATAATAGAAAAAAAGTTATGAACTTTCAAAGTTTTCCAAAAAAATCATAAGGGGGGTACCTTCTTACTAAAACGATGAAATTTCAATTTTTTTTTTGTCGAGATTTTATATCCTAATGGTCTCTCGTGATACCCTGAACTCCATAAACTAAATTATTCTCAGATTTGAAGCCGAAATCTATGAAAAAAGGCACTCAAAAAAATTGAAAAATTGATAAATCACCCCAATTGCTTAACACGATTTTATCTCAGGAACTATAAGTGCAAATGAGCTGAAATTTTCAGGGATTGTAATCCTTTGAAAGGGATAAAATACCGTGAAAGATTCAGCTTTCTATCTATAATAGAAAAAAAGTTATGAACTTTCAAAGTTTTCCAAAAAAATCATAAGGGGGGTACCTTCTTACTAAAACGATGAAATTTCAAATTTTTTTTTGTCGAGATTTTATATCCTAATGGTCTCTCGTGATACCCTGAACTCCATAAACTAAATTATTCTCAGATTTGAAGCCGAAATCTATGAAAAAAGGCACTCAGAAAAATTGAAAAATTGATAAATCACCTCAATTGCTTAACACGATTTTATCTCAGGAACTATAAGTGCAAATGAGCTGAAATTTTCAGGGATTGTAATCCTTTGAAAGGGATAAAATACCGTGAAAGATTCAGCTTTCTATCTATAATAGAAAAAAAGTTATGAACTTTCAAAGTTTTCCAAAAAAATCATAAGGGGGGTACCTTCTTACTAAAACGATGAAATTTCAAATTTTTTTTTGTCGAGATTTTATATCCTAATGGTCTCTCGTGATACCCTGAACTCCATAAACTAAATTATTCTCAGATTTGAAGCCGAAATCTATGAAAAAAGGCACTCAGAAAAATTGAAAAATTGATAAATCACCCCAATTACTTAACACGATTTTATCTCAGGAACTATAAGTGCAAATGAGCTGAAATTTTCAGGGATTGTAATCCTTTGAAAGGGATAAAATACCGTGAAAGATTCAGCTTTCTATCTATAATAGAAAAAAAGTTATGAACTTTCAAAGTTTTCCAAAAAAATCATAAGGGGGGTACCTTCTTACTAAAACGATGAAATTTCAATTTTTTTTTTGTCGAGATTTTATATCCTAATGGTCTCTCGTGATACCCTGAACTCCATAAACTAAATTATTCTCAGATTTGAAGCCGAAATCTATGAAAAAAGGCACTCAAAAAAATTGAAAAATTGATAAATCACCCCAATTGCTTAACACGATTTTATCTCAGGAACTATAAGTGCAAATGAGCTGAAATTTTCAGGGATTGTAATCCTTTGAAAGGGATAAAATACCGTGAAAGATTCAGCTTTCTATCTATAATAGAAAAAAAGTTATGAACTTTCAAAGTTTTCCAAAAAAATCATAAGGGGGGTACCTTCTTACTAAAACGATGAAATTTCAAATTTTTTTTTGTCGAGATTTTATATCCTAATGGTCTCTCGTGATACCCTGAACTCCATAAACTAAATTATTCTCAGATTTGAAGCCGAAATCTATGAAAAAAGGCACTCAGAAAAATTGAAAAATTGATAAATCACCTCAATTGCTTAACACGATTTTATCTCAGGAACTATAAGTGCAAATGAGCTGAAATTTTCAGGGATTGTAATCCTTTGAAAGGGATAAAATACCGTGAAAGATTCAGCTTTCTATCTATAATAGAAAAAAAGTTATGAACTTTCAAAGTTTTCCAAAAAAATCATAAGGGGGGTACCTTCTTACTAAAACGATGAAATTTCAAATTTTTTTTTGTCGAGATTTTATATCCTAATGGTCTCTCGTGATACCCTGAACTCCATAAACTAAATTATTCTCAGATTTGAAGCCGAAATCTATGAAAAAAGGCACTCAGAAAAATTGAAAAATTGATAAATCACCTCAATTGCTTAACACGATTTTATCTCAGGAACTATAAGTGCAAATGAGCTGAAATTTTCAGGGATTGTAATCCTTTGAAAGGGATAAAATACCGTGAAAGATTCAGCTTTCTATCTATAATAGAAAAAAAGTTATGAACTTTCAAAGTTTTCCAAAAAAATCATAAGGGGGGTACCTTCTTACTAAAACGATGAAATTTCAAATTTTTTTTTGTCGAGATTTTATATCCTAATGGTCTCTCGTGATACCCTGAACTCCATAAACTAAATTATTCTCAGATTTGAAGCCGAAATCTATGAAAAAAGGCACTCAGAAAAATTGAAAAATTGATAAATCACCTCAATTGCTTAACACGATTTTATCTCAGGAACTATAAGTGCAAATGAGCTGAAATTTTCAGGGATTGTAATCCTTTGAAAGGGATAAAATACCGTGAAAGATTCAGCTTTCTATCTATAATAGAAAAAAAGTTATGAACTTTCAAAGTTTTCCAAAAAAATCATAAGGGGGGTACCTTCTTACTAAAACGATGAAATTTCAAATTTTTTTTTGTCGAGATTTTATATCCTAATGGTCTCTCGTGATACCCTGAACTCCATAAACTAAATTATTCTCAGATTTGAAGCCGAAATCTATGAAAAAAGGCACTCAGAAAAATTGAAAAATTGATAAATCACCTCAATTGCTTAACACGATTTTATCTCAGGAACTATAAGTGCAAATGAGCTGAAATTTTCAGGGATTGTAATCCTTTGAAAGGGATAAAATACCGTGAAA